AGGGAGCCTGATGCGGGACTCGATCCCGGGACTCCAGGATCATGACCTGAGCCGAAGGCAGTCGCTTAACCAACTGAGCCACCCAGGCGCCCATCCCATTTTTTTTTATTACTTTGTGTGCCCGTTTGTGCACGTGCTTGCAGACTCCTCATATATTAAGGATATTCATCCAAATGTAATTTAAAATTCACTGGTTTTTTTTCTATTTAGACATATCTAGGGAAATGCAAATGTAACAGCAGTAAAGTAGCTCAGTACCCTTACTAGTAAAATTATTTTTTCAGGTGCTAACGAAGTTGTGTCAAGCTGGAACTTTCAGTTGTCATCTGTGGCATTATAAACTGTTCAGTTCTTTTGCAAACAACACGATAATACATAATTAAGAGCCATAACAATGGACATATCTTTGACCCAATAATCCCATACCTGGGAGTTTACTACCAGAAAATAATTGAAAAGTGATGTTGAATGCCCCAAATCATTTATTGCAGCAAGGGCTTATACTAATGACAAGTTAGAAACAAATTAATGAATTGGAGAGTAATGGTTAACTAAATTAGATTCATCATTAGAGTATTAAGTGAGCACTAAAAATGATTAGGAAGATTATAGATTGACATAAAAGGGTGGCCCTATAAAACCATTGAAGCAGAATACAAAATTATTTCAATTTTATGGTTATAACTATGTAAAAATACACATAAAAAGCAAAACTTTGGAGGAAACACCACGGGTTGGTTTTTGTTTGTCTTACCAAGTATGTGTGTGTAGAGTTTCTAAGGTTTGAGACTAACATTTACTGAGGGAGTACCGTGTGCCCATCTCACAACAACACTGTAAGACGGGGCATGATGTTATTCTCAACAGACAGATAAAGAAACTTAATTCTCATTTGACATGTACAGAAATTTAACTTTTTATTATAGTTGTTTTCAGATATCTACAAAAGTAGCAAGAATAGTAATTCTGAGCCCCGTGTAACTATCACCTACCTTCTACAATTTCAAGTTTACATTTTTAGTAAGTTGCAGAGTTGTAACCGTATCTATCCTACTCCGAAACCCATGCTTCTCATCACAACCCTGTCTTGCCTCTTCATTTTGTCATTTAATGCTATTGAATAACTTCATGATGCTTTAGTGTTTTTGGTAAAATGGACATGGAAAGGCATTATAACTGAGTTTTATAAGGCGGAGAAAGCACTCTCTTTTAACCACATATATTTTGTAATAAGCATTTTTAGTTGCAGTGTTTTGCAAAGACAAAACTTGCTGATACAGTTCATCCTGTTTTATAAATCTTTGACCCATTCATCAGACTCTGACCACTCTAAAGATAAAGGGTTATGGCTGTATTGGTCTTTCTGACTGAAGTGGCCTTCTGCAGATTGAGAAATTGGCTAATTATTAACTACGGTAATGGATATGTACTTGCAAGTTTCATCTGGTATCTTAATGAGCTTTAACCCTCTGAGTACACCCCAAACAAATCCTAGAATCATTGCAATTTATCAGTTGTCTGTAACTTAACTTTCCACTCCGTGTATTTTTGCTTGATAAATATTTTGTTTCCCCCCGCCCTCACCACATCCTATTCCCCTGTTCACACATTCACAACTCCTGTCAATTATAGGATTTTGTAGGAGCAGTCTTAGATATAAAGACCTTCAAAAAAATTCCTCTTTTTTGAATTAACAGGACCATACTTTCTAGTCCATTTTTTGGTGTGTGTGTGGGAAGTTCCACACTTACAGGAAGTGTGTATTTAGACAAGTAAAGGCATACTGAAATAATTATTAGGGACAGATAACCTTGTGTTTTATAGAACTGATTCATTTCAGACATCTCTTGTCCTGGGAGATCTTCTCTGAATTCTCAAGATGCCCTGTGTCACCCTTGTGTGCTTCCCCATCTTCCCCTGCCCAGAGGGCACCTAGGGCTCTGAATCTTGGGGACCTATGGCCTCATGACCTAGTAACCATAAACCATACTAGAGTTGAGTCCAAGGGCTGTATAATCCGGTCTGCATACAGTGTCATTTAGTCAGATTTTTCCTTCAAGAAAGAGGCTAAATAGAATATTGCTTTTTTATCTACTGTGATTTTATCAAATATAGCAAGATTAGAAGTATATCTGACACTAGGGCATGTGGTTGGTTAAATATAGATTGGTAAAGCATAATTGGATATTTTGTAGTTAAATGAATGAGACTGGATGAAATTCTGCAGTGTTGTGTGGAGTGAAAAGAAGAAGTGGTCCAAGAAGAAAGAGAGAAAGAACCAGAGAGGTAGAGGAAATAGGAAAGCATAGCATTCCAGAAACGGAGGGAAGAGAGTTTTACAATTAGAGTCGTCCAGTACTGTGAGTACTTATTTGACGATTTGGACTTCACTGTTGTCTCAACAGAGGTAAGAAATAGAAGTCCGATTGTAGGACATTCAGGAGGAAAGGTTAAGTGAGGACGCAGAAGCAGTGAGTGTCTTAGTCTCTGTAAACGTTCTCAAGACTTCCTGTAGCACATGTGTCTCTTGGGTAAGGCAACTGAAGCTGCTTTCCTGGCTCCTGTGCTGGGATGTGGAGGAGGGGGACTTGGGGGCTGTATTGTACTCCTTTTTTTCTGAATTTATTTAAATTTAAATTTGTCACTAACTGTAGTCCAAAAAGCCTAGGAAAAATGCAGATAATGGCCAGTCCTGCTTTGGTTGGTTGCCCCCGCCTTCTGCCTTTTAGGGACACCCCTGCATTTAATCCTGTGGCAGCTCAATATCACTATTTTATAATTGTCATTTTATCACTCCCATTAGACTAGCTCCTTAAAGCTCCTTGTTGTCGTTGCTGACTTCCCATTACCTAGCATAATGCCCAGCACATAGTATTAAGTATTTGTTATATGAAGGATTGAATGAATAAACCAACAATTATCTGTCTCTTAAGCACAAAGTAATTCCAATCTGATGCTCTCACAGAATCAAAAAAGAACGTTTCAGGAAAGAGGGACTTATAAAAAGTTTGAAATGGCAGTAAGATAAGAATCGAAAACTGACCTTTGGATTTGGCTAGTAAAGGGCATTGGTTTTCATAGTAAAAAGTGTTATAGCAAAATGATTGGAGTAAGAGCCGTATTTAAGTGAGGTTGAAGAATAAATGAGAAGTAAGAACAAAGAAACACCATAGAAGTTTTCTTTTTTTCAAAAAAGATTTTTATTGGAGAGAGAGTTTGCGAGAGAGAATGAGCAGGGGGAGCAGCAGAGGGAGAGGGAGAAAACAGGTTCCCCGTTGAGCAGGGAGCCTGACACGGGACTGGATCCCAGGAGCCCGGGATCATGACCTGAGCTGAAAGCAGACACTTAACCAACTGAGCCACCCAGGTGCCATAGAAGTTTGTTTTTTTGTTTTGTTTTAAGAAACCATTGGAGAGAAACCCAGAGATTTGAGAGAGGGAAAGTCATTATCATAGTAATTTTATGCATTTGATATGAATATAAGTATTCTCACCTGCATGTCAGCATATTTTATTTCTCCCTCTTTTTTTTAATAATTTTTTTAAGAATTTTTATTTATTTATTGAGAGAGAGAATGATAGAGAGAGAGCATGAGAGGGAGGAGGGTCAGAGGGATCATGACTTGAGCTGAAGGCAGTCGCTCAACCAACTGAGCCATTAGGGCGCGCTCTTCTGCTTGATTTTAATGCATCTTTACAACTTGAAGGTTTTGGCTGTGCTATTTGGGAGCCCCCTAGTGGCCAATTTAATAATGACATATAAGTAATCAAATGTTGATTGATCCACTAGACCAGTTATTCCTTATGCAGATTATTCTTTCTGTGAGGAAAGTAACTAGTAAGGCTTATAGTAATTAGTGAGGCTTAGTCCTTTTTTATCTGTCAAAACTTGACACCTAAACTTGCTGTAATTTTGTTTCCATAATAATAATTTACTATTATAAACCTTGAAAATTGCAGTATATCTTTGTTTAGTTGCTAACACATTACTAACTGCCATCAGTGTGCTCAACTCTTACTCTGCAGTGTTAGATTTAGGTCCATTGTTCTACAGCTATTGGACCATCATATTCAGTTTGGAGATTGTGAAAGAAAAGCCTGATTACCAAGCAAAAAAGATTTGATTATTATGAAAATAATACATATTCGTTATTCATCACAATAAAACTTAAAATATAGAAAAATTTTAAAAATCATCCTTAATGTTGCTTCTCAATGTTTTTCTTTCTAGGATTTTTTTATATTATAAAATATATCTGGGAACGCCTGGGTGGCTCAGTTGTTAAGCGTCTGCCTTCGGCTCAGGTCATGATCTCGGGGTCCTGGGATCGAGCCCGCATCAGGCTCCCTGCTCGGCAGGAAGCCTGCTTCTCTCTCTCCCACTCCCCCTGCTTGTGTTTCCTCTCTCTCTCTCTCTCTCTCTGTCAAATGAATAAATAAATAAAATCTTTAAAAAAAATAAAATATATCTGAACAATATAAGGAACACTTCTTTAACCACACCTCATTAAAAAAAAAAAACAAGCATGTTCAGTACAGTTCAAGCCCTTTGTGTAACTTTACCTATTACATCCTCATTCCTCCCTCCTGAAGGTAACCACAATCCTGAATTTGGTATATTATTCTCAGGCATATTTAAAAATTCAGTATATCATAATTTAATACTGACAGCTATCCTTGTGGTGAACATGGCATAATGTATAAACTTGTCGAATCAGAGTCACTGAGTTGTATACCTGAAATTAATGTAACATTGTATGTCAACTATACTCAAATTAAAAAAAAATTTTTTTAAAGATTTTATTTATTTATTTGACAGAGAGAGAGAGACACAGTGAGAGAGGGAACACAAGCAGGGGGAGTGGGAGAGGGAGAAGCAGGCTCCCTACTGAGTAAGGAGCCTGATGTGGGGCTTGATCCCAGGACCCTGGGATCATGACCTGAGCTGAAGCCAGACGCTTAACCGACTGAGCCACCCAGGGGCCCCCCCTTTTTAAAAAATATTTTATTGACAAATTGTTTTTTTTCATGTAAAATTGTATTTGTGGGGAGCCTGGGTGACTCAGCTGGTTGAGCATCTGCTTGTTGATCTCAGTTCAGGTCTTGATCTCAGGGTCATGAGTTCAAGCCCGGCACTGGGCTCCATGCTGGGCATGGAGCCTACTTAAAAAAAAATTGTATTTGTAAGATGTATCCATGTTGACATGTAACTCTTGGTAACTTCTTTTTGCTGCCATACGGTAATCTTTCTCTGAATATTCCATGATGGATCCATTCTCCTCTTCATGGACTTTTAGGTTCTAAACTTTTGCTTAAAAAGTCTCCATGAGCATTCTTGTACATGTTTTCTTGTGTATATATACACGTATATGTATATGTATATGTATATGTATATGTATATGTATATGTATAAATAAAACGCCCAGAGTTCTCCGGGGCAGAAACTTGGAAGTGGAATTACTTGGTTTTGTGGTATGTGCATCCTCAGCTTTACCACATTGTTCTTCAAAGTGGAATGCCAACTTACTATTCTATGAGCAGTGTGAGAGTTCCTCAATCTTGGCTATCGTTAGACTGCTTAAATCTTTCTGCAGTCCTGCGAGTATGAACAGTATCTCTTAAGAACAGCAAAGAGAAGACTTGTATTATAGGATATTTAAAGCATGTATGAGAGCGGAGTGATTAGTGCAGTGAACCTCTATGTGTTTTGTCACCCTTATCAACGCATGGCCCTTCTTGTTTTATCTACAACCTTACTCCATCTCCCTTCCCAGGGTTCTAAAGGAATCTGAGATGTCACCCTGTCTTGCCTGCAGACACTCATGCATCTCCAGCACTAACTCTTTCATACATAGCCTCGGTAGCATTATCCCACTAAAAAATAACAACAATCCCTTAATGTTATTAAATTTAGTTTCTCTAGTTGTTTTGTAATATTTTTACATTTGTGTCTTCAAATCAGGATCTAAATAAGGTTCATACATTATAATTGATCTCAGTCTACAGATTCCCTCCGTTTTCCCGTACAACATCTACCTTGTGATGTTAGCAGTCATTAATGATTATTGCCAAAGAAATACACTCGTTCATCAGGAGTTGCAAAATGGTGCTATTCTGCCATTTCTTTTTTGTTTGTTTATCAGCAGGATACCTCTGTAAAGAGAGCTTTTTTCTCTTCAAATAGCTGGTCTTCTCGAGATACTGTTAGCAAAGAAAGAAAGGATAAAATTCTTTCCTTTCATTCACGAGCTTTTAAAGGAATTACTTTGTCGCCAGTATCCTCCCAAGGTCATCACTGAGTTTGTTTTAGTTATCTTTATGAACTTATGGGTTTAAACAAATTTGGTGTGTTCCAATCTATTATAGTAATCATTCCAAATGATGCTCAGATTGCTCAACTTTGGCCAGTGGGAACCTCTTTAAGTGGGCTCCTGAATTCTTTTGACACCATCGTAGTAGTCTCTGATAGTTTTCTTACTTTCTGGTATGACGAGATGTTTCACATTCACCTCGTACATTTCTTGCTCCAGACCTAAAACCAGCCATTTCTCTAAGGAGTTCTGGCCACATGGTCATCATCTGCATAGCATAAACCAAAATTCCAGTTCCTCAGAAAGAAAGCAAGTGTTCATCACAACACTGTTTACATAGATCATTTAGGCAGGGTGAGCCATTTTTATCAAAGAATGGTGGGAATCCTCCTGGAATCTAAATTCCTAGACGCCAGCCTGGGCCCACCTTGCAAGCCAGCCTTTTTAAGGACAATAGTCTGAGGCCTGCCGTGTTAACTCTTTTCTGCACAGCTGCCTGTTAGACATTTTGTGGCGATGACGAGTAAGCAGAAAGTTGGTTAAGGAGTCAGGAGTTCAGAGGAGAGGTTGTGAGGGAGGTATACACGTGACAGTCAGTAGCTCAGAGAAGGTATTCAGAGCCTTGAGACTGAGTGAGGTCACCTAGGGAGTGAGCCCAGAGAGGGACTCAAGGACTGGCCCTTGAGCACGAAGTTGTGGAGATGAGGAGGAGCCAGCAGAGGAGACTGAGAAAGAGCACCTGGTGAAGTAGTTATCACGTGGAATGAGAACCAAGAGGGTGTAGTATCCCTAAAGCCAAATAATAGAGTATTCAAGGAGGCTGAGTTCAGCGGTGTCAAATGCTGCCGATAGGCTGAGTAAGCTGAAAATGGAGAACTGACTCAGCATGGCGGTGTGGAGGTTACTGGGGACCTTGAAATATGCCGTTTCAGTGGAGTGGTTGGGACCAAAGCTTGACGGGAGTGGGTGTAAGAGAGAATGGGAGAAGAGGGAGTATAGACAGTTCTTTCAAGGAATTTGGCTGCAGAGGGGAGCAGAATGGTTGGAGGGGCAAAGGAGCGGAGGAATAACAACATGAAAAAAATAACAGCATGTCTGTACGTTCATGGAGATTCTCCAATACAGAGAGAGAAATCAGTCACCTAGGAGAGAAGGGGAGAAATGTCGGAACCTGAGGAAGAGAAAGGGAGTGAGATCTAACGTCTAAGTAAGGTGGCTTCACCTAGAAGCATGGACAGTTCATCCACAGTAACAGGAAGGTGAGCACAGTATCTAATACGACAGGGCTGGGTTGGTAGGTCTGTTGGTGAGAGCTTGTAAGCAGAGATGGTAGCATGGTCACCAGCTGCACTTGAGGAGTGGGGAAGAGATGCTGCAGATTTAAAGAGTGGAGAGGTATGGGAGACTTAGCTTAGTGAGTGGATAGGGAAAGATTGTGAGGTACCACTTGGAGGTTAGTGGTAATGAACTTAAAATGAGACTAGTTTTCAGATGAAGGTTTTTTTGTTTTGTTTTTCTAGTTACTTCTAGCCATTGGGCTACAGGGACAGGGTAGGTGGTGATCCAACCAGTGTTTGAGTTCAGCTGGGCAAATACCTTAGCGAGGAGAGCAGTGGAATTAGCCATGTATGCCAGAGAGTGATTTTAACACTGGCCTACGGGATCGAAGCTGGTTAAGGAGGGAAGTGAAGAATGAAGCTGTGAAGATGTGGTGCCTACAATCAGTCGTAGGTCCCGCATGTTCAAGGAATTGCTGAAGTTGTGCATTTAAAGGGACTAAGTAGGAAGATGGGAGAAACTAATCAGAGCACTGAAAGCTTAAAATTAGGGAAGGATGTGCAGTTATGGATAATGGGAGGGTATGTGACTCTAAGAACAGGTAACTGGGGTAAGGTGGAGAATACAGTCACTGGAGGAGAGGGGGTCAAGGAGCCAAGAGGCCAGGGGACTGGAAGGATCATCCACATTGACATTGAAATCACAAGAATTATAATCGGAGATTATTAGATTTGGAGAAGGTGACAATGAGCAAATCCTCAAGGATGATGAGAGTGACTGGAGATCACAGTTGTCATTTCCTGACAGTTCCCCCTTTCTGTGTACTTCCAGACTTCTTGTACTGCCGGATGGACTTTTCATGATGTGGAAACTTCTTACCTTTTTACGAAGGACCCTGTACTCTGATCAAGAGTCCTTAGTCATGCCACGGTTTTGCCTGACTCTGCCTTGTATAGCCACTGTTCCTTTTGTTTAAAAGCTCTCAGCTGCAGCAACTCCCTTGCCCAGCGGATGGTCGCTTCCTGCTTATAGTCTGTCGGATTTAGTACATTATTTTCAAAGTATTAGTTTATAGTCACTGTTTTCCTCTCCTTTTTGTTTAGGCCAAGAGCCTTATCTGTCTCTTTGTCCCTGAAGCACTGTGAAAAAGCTCTCAGCAAGCTCTAGGACCAGATCTGGTTCATAAATTCCTTTTGAAAGTCAGTTATCAATTAAATCGGGGTGTGATTCTTCATTTTTTTTTTTTTTAAAGATTTTATTTATTTATTTTGACAGAGAGACAGAGAGAGGGAACACAAGCAGGGGGAGGGGGAGAGGGAGAAGCAGGCTTCCCGCGGAGCAGGGAGCCCGATGCGGGGCTCGATCCCAGGACCCTGGGATCATGACCTGAGCCGAAGGCCGGCACTTAACGACTGAGCCACCCAGGCGCTCCCTGATTCTTCATTTTTAATCTCAGTAAATATGATGCTTACTTAGATGTGCTTATGTCAGGTGCTACAGTTAATGACAAAAAGTTTAAATCACAACGGATTCCTTTTCTCCAGCTATTACAGAATGACTACTCTTAATCTTTTTACTTGTATTGCAGAGAAGACTGAAAAGTACAGAAGGAGTCACTAGTTGGCTAACATGGGCCTGAGCATCGATGACACGGTCACTTCTACAGCTTGAAGAGAGAGCCTCGAGTCTCAGTTTGTTATTTTCTCTCCCTTCCGGTTGGGGCCTTCTATTTTGGTCTTGGGAATTGGGTTCACAGTTGAAGGAAGGAGGCCCCAAAGGTACTGAGATAATCTCTGGAGTAAAGAAAACAGGAAAAGTAAAGGTGACTATAGGACAACGAAACCAATGCTTTCTTTTTCCTTCTCTGCTAACTTGTTATTTAAATGTTATTAAACGTCATTTGATGTTAGTATACTTAGCTTTTTTTAGAGTGTTTTTTTTAAGTATCTCATTTAATTTATTGAAGAGAGTCTGTATGTGAGGATTTTTGTGGCAATTTTGATTTCTCCTTATGATTTCTTATATATTTATGAATTTTGTATTTAAATGGAATACCAGTTAATTATGTTTTTGATTCATAGTTTATACAACATTTGCTTTTGGCATATTATTAAGTTAATATCAATGTAGAAAAAAATCTAGTGACAAAATACTCATTTTAATTTTTTTCAGAAACTATGAGTGGAGGATCTCAAGTCCACATTTTTTTGGGTGCTCCGGTTGGTCCATTGAACATGACAGTATCAACGGAACCAACTTCTTTAATGTCTACTGAGAACCCCTGGAAAAAAATTCAGCTTTTATACCACCAACATTCTTTACATCTGAGGGATGAAAACTGCACGCATGAAACTCTTGAAGACTATCCAGTTCTAGAAGCTAATGGCCCTCTAGATTTTCCTAGTGCTCAGTTTTTAACAAACCCTATGGGTGAACCTATTCATGTGAAAGAAGACTCTATAGATTGTATTTCTGAAACACAGACTGTAAAATCCCAGGAGAGTCCCCCTTTAGGAGTGAGAGAGAGAACCAGCTCTGATGTGCAAATATGTGGATTTAAGGGAAAAGTTCAGCATTTAACAGAAGAAGAAAAGTTTCAAAATCTTCTCAGTGAAAATAAGAAAATTGCAGATGGACAGCATAAAGATCAGTCAAATACATGTGGTCAGAACTTTCAGAAAAACTTCTTTCAGTTAGATCATAAGTGTGCAGCTACGTTAGATTTGGTCTGTAGTATGGAAAAGATTAATGTGGGGCTGGGAGCGATTGAAATGAAGTGTGGGCCAACAGAGCATCATGAGGTACAAAACCAGGGTCTGGAGTTCTTTTCCTCTGACACAGAAGATAAGCCAAGGTCCGAAGCTGTTAGAAAGGTCGCAGACCTTAAAATATCTACGGATACTGAATTTCTTACTATAATGACCTCCAGCCAGGTTGCTTTTTTATCTCAAAGGAAGTCTAAAGGACAGAATTTTATCAATAAAGGGCCTGTAAGCGAACCAAAGGCAAGTCATAGGGAAATAAGAATACTTGAAGATAATTTGACTCAGCCTAATGATGACTTTGCAGGAGGATGTGAAAGTGGACAAAATCAAGCACATTCCCTTGAACTCTTTAGTCCTGTTTGTCCTGAAGCAAAAAGTAGCGACACTCACATGAAGTCTGATAAAAGTCTCGAAGAAAATAGAGGACCTCAAGCACTGTTCAATTTTGAAGACAAACCGCCACCCAGTGATGTATGTATCGAGTCATATAGCTCAGGAATGCTGTGTTCCCAACTAAATACCTTCCACAAAAGTTCTGTTAAAAGAAGTTGGACCTCTGAAGACAAGTTGGGCCATTCCAAAGCTCTGTCTAAAGTCCTCCAACCATCCAAGAAAATTAAGTTGGTCTCTGATGCAGGAGATCCTACTGCAACAATGGACCAGAGGAATGTGTCTAAATTTAAGGGGATTAAAAAAACATCATTAATACAAAATTGTGATTCTAAGAGTCAGAAGTATAATTGTTTAGTCATGGTATTATCTCCATGTCACGTGAAAGAAATAAGTATAAAATCTGGACCAAATTCCGGCTCTAAAGTGCCTTTAGGAACAATTGTGGTAACGGACCAGTCAGGAATTAAGAAGAAGGTATCTCTGTGGAGGGCTGCAGCATTTTGGGCACTTGTAGTATTTCCTGGAGATATAATTTTGCTTACAGGTAAGGTCAATCATGGGGTAGTGGTAGCTTCAAGCTGTAGGCTTCCCTGACCTCCCACTTTTAGCCTTATATCGTTTGCCTCTGTGGGAGGCGGCATGATCGATCCCTTTCCAGTATCCAGGTTTGTCCCCTTACCGTCGCCCGGTATCCCATGTTCCTGCCATTTCTGGGCCTTTGCTCTAGCCCTTCTTAGTTCTGTCCCTCCTTGAGGGAGGCCTTGAAGAAGCCTTCCCTGATTGCTTCTCCCTTTCATTCACTATGTTAGCATTCAGGTCATATCATCAGGCTCTTTCTTTGTTTCCTTATGGTTTTGGCTACATATATCTTATTTTTAAGTGTTTTCTTGAGCTATATTAGCAGTCTTATGATGAAAGGACAGCGTTTCTACTACTTAAGCCCTAGTGATGCTGTGCACATCACCTTCTTATTGAGGGGACAGATAGAGAATTTCTATTGTGTTTTTAATTATTAAAATTATACTATCACGTTTGGGAATATGGGAAGGAAAAACTGCTGATATTAAAGCAACCTCATATCACCTCCAGTAGAGTTTTGGAGTGTTACCTTCCAGTTATCTTCCCTCTGCTCCTTAAAATGTGTATACATACATATGTAATAGTTGATATTTATTGGGAACTTACTTTGTGTCCAACCCTGTTTTAAACTTCACATGTATATCAATTCATTACAACAACTGTATGAAGGTGCTGATTATTAGCCCCATTTTTCACTTTGAGTAAACTGAGGCCCAGAAAAGTAAAGCAGTGTACCCAGTTTCACACATCTAGGAACTGGCAAAGCCAGGATCTCACCTAGATTCCAGAACCCACACTCTTACTATATAGTTGTAATCATAAAGAGCATTGAGTTTTTATCCTGCTTCTTTCTGACATAAGACGTCTAACATTTGTTTTTTTACATGTTCTTCATTAATTGAAAATAAATACACAGTGTATTAGAGCAGAGATACCAATGATATTAAGGGTGAGTCCCAGACTGGGAGGAAGTTGATTAAGCTCAGTAACCTACCTAAAGAAAGAACGTGGTAGAGAAGAAGAGTGGGTGAGCTTTAGAAGCCTAGAAAAAGAAGACATCAAGGCAGTCATTGGTGGTTCCTACCAAGTGGTTTGCTGGGGGAATGAGAGCCTTGCCTAATATTCCTTAGGTGCATAGGTAAGAGTGTCAGGTGCATGCTCTCATAAAGAGATATGTGGGATTATAACCGACATGGTTAGCAGAGTCCCGTCCCACTGGCAATGTCATCTTATTTGTTGCTAAGTCAGTTCATCTTGCTCCCTCTATTCTGATTCAGTGCTCACCAAGCAGCCCTTTTCTTACGATTTGGCTTCCCAGGTGTAAAGCTGCCTACATGAGAATCGGCTGCAAATGCTGTTTCTGTGGCAATGAATGTCTCATTGTAAATTAAAAAATGGTGTTGTGTTTTTTGTTTGTCTCATTAACTTGTTTAATGGGAGCTTATGTTGCAGAGCTGAAATCTATTTTTGGGGTGCCGACAAAATCAGATTCCCAGACTATCAGGAGAGAACGGGGCCCTGGACCACGGTTATTTTACCAAGGCCATTACTGTCCCTGGGTGAGCCTCACAGGAGGACTTTTCCTGGCAGATGGAAACTCAAGCCTGCTATCCCTGTGTTTTTTCCTAGTGTCCATACAGTTGTTAGCAACTCGGTAACCTTCTATCAAGTGACTTAACTGGTTTACTTAGCCATTTTCCTATTATAGGATATTTAGATTATTTCTATGAGCACCTTTTAAAAAAATTAGATTTTTTCTTTCTGTTTCGCCTTATTTCCTTAGTAAAAAAGTAATCTGGTTCACTAATTTCTGAATGGGTTTCTTTTGTTTGTGTGGGACAGATGGAAACTTAATGGAAAAAAGCGAAATCTATACTTTTCCATTGTCCTAATTAAATACTGAAATTGTATTTACATAGAAATTTATGGGTAAAATCCCATTCTAATTAACAGCATTCACGTACATTATTATATCTCCACGTTGGATATTTCGTACTGTCTACTGACATACACCCCCAAACTGAACGTGTTTCCGCAGATGTATCCCAGCTCACACTGTGTTCCGTGACACAGCCGACCTTTTGCCATTATACTTGTAGCAACAGCATGAAGAGGTGCTGTAAGTGAGGACTGTCTGAGGGAGACTGCTGGCCGGAGTTCAAAGACGACCTGGCGCTGAACTGTGGAAAACCACAGATTTTCAAGAACAAACAGGAGAGGCTCTAGGGCGTATCCGTGAGAGGGAATCAGGAGAGCCAGGAGGCAAGGGCTGGGCCAAGAATTCTACTCCACCCTATCACTACTGATTAGCAAGTCACTAATCCAACCTAGGTTTTACAATCTAGTTTTCTGAAGCCTCTCCTTGAAATTTATTTGTTTCTTTCTGAAGAGCAGGCATCCTGATGGTCAGATGATGAGAAGTCTAGAACGCTGTGCTAGCTGTTCCTGGCCAGGCAGTGGGGAGCTGCTGAGTGCTTTTTTTTTTTTTTT